GGTGATCAAGAGCAGTTTCTGGAAAGCAAGGATTAAAAGCAAGATTTTGAAGAATCCCTCAACTCCCGGCATCAAAGAACAAATTGAATAAATAACACCAAGGGGGAGATTGTAAGGATTTCTTCATAAAGCCTTTCCAAGAAGACAAAAGAAGCTGAACTGAAAAATGTGATCGACTAAAGGTGGTGCTAGATGCAAATAATGAGCGACTCAAAAAGAGGAGAATGTTGCGTCAATACGAACATGCTCTAGCACTGCGAAGCAACTACTACAAGAGGAAGAAGGATCCGCAAGAGCCGACAAAGAACATATGATCACAATGGGGGAGATTGTTAGAGATATTTTCATGTATTGTGATCAATGTTTTATCTAGCCTTTGTAGTAGTAGCTAGAATATTTAATTAGACCTTATTTGGTAAAGGCATGCTTGCCTAAGTAGGAATTGGCCTCCTAAAAGTTGGAGCCCAATCATTTGTTAACCTACCATTCTCCAAAGCTATAAATATGCCCCTTTAGAGAATGAGTAGGTTGAGCTTTCCTCCCTTAGAAAAATTCCCTGTGCATAGACTAGAAGCCTACAGAAGTTTTATGCTACATGTTTTTCATCTTTATGTAAACTTTCTGGCTATCAATGGAAAGCTTCTTCTACTCATATTAATCAGATCTTATACATTATAGAGTAGAAATAGGGACCGACATTTCCTCATCAATCTTCTTCAGCTCCTCAATGTGGCAGTCAAAATCCTCTCGGGTATAAGCTTGTGCTGCTTCAAAATAATTGTTTTTCATTTTTTTGTTTTTCTTTTGAACTTTTTCTTGAGGTTGTTAAATAAATGGTAAATGCATACCCCATGTGCAGATTCAGGATATACTTCTATCACACCTTTAGCAATGCTCTCATGCCTATCAGAAACAATCACCATTCCATTCCTATAACCAAAAGCTTTTCTAATATTCAAGAAAAACCATTTCCAGGATTCATCATTTTCAGAATCAAAAACACATAATGCAAGTGGAAATATTTTCCCACATGCATCTTGTGTTGATGTTGTTAACAGTGTGCCCCCATATCTCCTTGTCAAGAACGTGCCATCAACTACTATAACTGGTCTGTAGAATTTCCAGGCCTGAATTGATGCATTGATTGCCTTGAATGCATATAAAAAGTAGTCTTCATTAACTTTGATTTCCAGAAAAGATCCATGATTTTTTTGTTTCACAATACTCATGAATTGTTGCAGAAACCTGTATGACTCTTCTGTTTTTTTATCTTAGCTTAAACAACACCTTTTATTTTGCTCTCCACGCTTTTAAGTAGCTTATTTCAATGTCATATTGCTCTAACATATCTCTCTGTACATCCATTGCATTATATGATGTTTTTAGATCCACCAATTTAGACTTAATATGTTTGATAACAAACTGGATGTTGCATGTCTTTGATATGTTAATCTTACTTCCAATCTACAAGAATGTGTTTTTATAAACTTCACAACAATGAACCTTCCCAAGGTTCCCGTTTGTTTTGATCGAATCTCCCAACTGCACTTTTCATGCAAGCATTTTGCTGCAAAATACTTCTGATTTGTCTTATGTGCCTTGTACTGGAAGTGATTTTTGATAGCATACATCTCAAGTGCTTTCTTGAACTCATCCCTGTTGATGTAAACCAGTCCTTCTTCAGGATCTACATCACTGTTAATGCAATTTGTTGATGCTAACTCCACACATTTTTGTTGAAGTAGTGCTTCAGTGGTTTTATTTGCCTAAGCCAATATAAAACCATTAATGTCCAATTCTTCACTAAATGTTGAGCTATCTTCAGACATTGTCACTGGTTGTAGGGTACTTGTTTCTTCTTGTGGATATCCCCCAAGAAACATGTTGCAAGTTGTTTCTTCATGTACATCAGCAAGGGTGATACACAGAGGGAATTTGGTGACATTTATCTCTTGTTTCTTGAGGTTTAGATAAACAACAGAGCTGAGTTATCTTGTATCATCAATCGTGGACAATTCTCTCTGACTTTGTATTGAATTATCAATGTAGTTGATGGTCTTTCTATTCCAATCCGGTCTCCTATCTTGGTAATTAGCTCAGGATAAGAACTGTTTGTAGCTAAAGTAATTCCAAACACAGTGAAGTTCACATACTCCATTGCTTCATTCCACCGACCATCATCATGAACAAAAATAGGAATTGTTTCCATGTTTCCTATTATTAATAATACACATCTTTTGTTCTTAATGAACTACAAACAAGTGTACAGAGTATTGCAATTTCTAGAAACAAAAACAAAATATATTCATTCATCACTTTAATTTGCAAAAAACAGAACAAATCATTCATCAGCAATTTTTCAAAAACAGAAACAAAACTTACTTTAATAATTTCACACATATTGAAATCACTAAACGAATTCTAGCTTCATGCTCAAAAACGCGATCAAATTGGTTCTCATAAAGCTAATAATCGCACCTTGGTTTCTGAGTAGAATTGGAGATAACTAATAGTACTTTGTAATTACCTGATATTTTTGACACAGCCACATGATCGATTTTTTGCTCAGAAAACGTGATCACGTTAAGACGAGATGAGATCGTTCGATTTGTTCGCATCTCATAACTAGCAGTTCGGCAGTTACGAGCTCTTGAGATGACAGGTAGCTATGAGTTTCTAATTTGGTTATGTTTATATATGGCTTTTTTTTTAAAATAACACATTATGTGGTTTAGTTTTGAAATATGAATCTAAGTTTCTAAAAAGTGATATTGTTTCCCTTATTATGGTTGGTCGCAAAAATTTCCCTTTCTATTTCGATTAATGAAACAACCATGATGAGTTAGCAGGCCGCAGGCCTAGCTTGGCCTATTCGCATTTTTAAAACCCGCTTCTTCCTTGTTTGGATTGAGGACAATGAGGTTTTCAATCATAAATACTCTGTCAAAACTAACAGAAATTAAGAGATACAATTGTCAATCCATTTGAATGTACAATGAATTATTCATATTCTTCAATTAATAATTGCAATTTTGTTACACTAACAATTTTCACATTCCCGTAATATCCTCACCACTATTGGTGTATAAATAATTAAATTGAAAATTAACAATATTGAGAGCCCGTTTGGCGACCCTTTTCAACTTATCAGTCGACTTTTATCAAATGTTTAACTTTTTAGTTTTGATTTCACGCGTTGAATTGTGTAATAATCAAAATAAGTAAGGTTGAGGTTATTTTTCAAGTTGAATTGACTGAAGTTACCGTAGAGGCTCATTTTAGCTATTTTATAAAAAATTTCAGAAGTTTGCAGATTTAGTCAATTCAGCCGTTTCTGTCAGCATATCAACAATTTCTATAGAATCAGTCGATTCAGTCAATTTCAGTGTTACTAAAAGCGATCTAAATGGGAGTATAATATTGACACTTGTTAGCCTTCTACTCTAAGATGTAATGCTCAAGATTTAAATTAAGAGCTCGTTTAATACCACTAAAATTGACTGAACCGATTGAATCTATTTAAATTGCTTAAATGGAGGTAGAAATGGTTGAATCTGCGGAAATGTAGGAGAACTCTATTACAATGTATTTATAGCCAAAATGATTTCTACATCACTCAAGATTTAGCTCTCACACAGTCAAAACAAATGAAGGGATAACCGATAAAAATTAGTCTCGAAGTTGCAAACAATTACAAATTTACGTGGTTGTACATGCAAATGATACAACCAGGCGCATGATATATAATTTGTGCTCCTCATTTGCTCGCCGGTGTAACAAAGGAGTTCAAAATGTCCATTTTTAATTTTTTTTAACTCAGTAATACCTTTGGACTAGAGTCATCTTTAAGCATGTTTTTACTTGGACCGAAATTTCTTGATTTGGTTTGTTTTAGTTTGATTTGATATGTTTTAAGATGTTTTTACTTGATTTGATATGTTTTAAGATGTTTTTACTTGTATTTATTTCAGTCCCAGACCAAATCAAACAGTTCAGACTAGACCAAATCAAACAGTTCAGACTAGACCAAATCAGATCAAACTTTGAAAGCTCTGAAATATACAGAAATCATACATTTACTAGACCAAACTAGATAAACAAATTCAGTCCAAGTAAAACACTCAAGTCTGATGTGATCTATTGTGGTCTCAAATTGAAACTAGTTAAATACATCTAAATGCTAAACACTAAATACTCCATACGGAGTATTAGTTAAATACGAAGTTGTTCTGAATGTATCCCAAATTTATACACAAATTCTACACTGTCTGTGTACACAAATATTTTGACATAAAATCATGTCGTCCATTTTCAAACAAATTACCTATCTACAATTTGTGTACTAATTTGGACACGTTACCATTTTTTTTTTTACAAAAATGATGTTTGTATCCATTCTTCACTTTTGTACTTTTTGTTTTGTTTATGTGAACAGGGGTTCACAGCCAATTTGGGGATCACGTGCCATTCATTTGCCAACGATCCACCGACAGCTTATGAGATCGCAAGGAAAGATAGAGATGAAGAACTAAAGGAAGAAGATAACAGATGCAGAATAATGGAAGAAGATAGCAGATAGAAGACGAACTAAATTGAAGGGCAATACTTGTCGACACTTCCCTACACCCCAATTTGGGGTGTTAAAAAAAAGCTCTCTATTGAAGTGTTAACATCAACACTCTTTAACACTTCCATTACTAACACCTCTCAACATTCAATCCAAACAGGCCGTTAAATACGAAGTTGTTCTGAATGTATCCCAAATTTATGTACAAATTTTACACTATCTGTGTACACAAATATTTTGACATAAAATCATGTTGTTCATTTTCAAACAAATTACCTATCTACGATTTGTGTACTAATTTGGACACCTTACCATTTTTTTTATAACAAAAACGATGTTTATATTGATTGTTATACTTACTTTTGTACCCACAAAAACGATGCTTATATTCATTCTTATACTGACAAAAAACTTTTCTTTTGGCTGTGAACCCCCAATTCACAGAAAAAGAACAGTTCAATATAATGTGGATATAAGAATAAGACATTTTTGTTTTTCTTACACAAGTAAGACTCAAGTTACAACTACTCCTTACCTAAACACTGATATGGCTAGTTTGGCAGTCACCTGCCTGCTGCTTTTTGCTGCTACGTATGCCGCACGGAACTTCCATCTCGCCGATGGTGCGCAGCGGAAGATCCACATTACCGATGATCTCGATGACGTCGTGGATGATGAAGAAGACGATGCCTGGAGAGAATGGGGCAAGAAGAGATCGAGTCCACCCGAATTCGACCCTCCGCCCATGGATTTCAGCGACATGGATCCGTCCCAAATGCAAGCCGAAATGATGAAGCGCCAGTTCGGACCGGTTTTCGGATTTGCCAAGCTCCGCCTCGGCACCCGTCGCACTTCGGTATCCTTTTGAACTACCTTGGATTACTATAATTAATTCGGATCGTTTACTGGGTTTTGGCATTGAAAATATGCAACTCTTACAGAGTATATATTAAGCAGTCCATAGCGCAGATTATAGTAACGCATACCTCTAATTCAGTTAAACATAGCAACATTGATTACCTGGTTTGAGTTTCAAAGTTTAATTAATATTCCGGTCTCTTAAAATGATTTATGAAAACGTACTTTCCGTAAAGGGAAACATTTCTTAGTAAAAATACCTCTCGTCTTGCCAACAAAAAAAGAGACGGAAGAAGTTGGGGAGAATTGGAGAAACACACAAGAAATCTAAAGGAGCAATTTTTTAATGGAGGAATTTGCTTTAGGCCATACTGCAGAATTTTCCTCACTTGTTGTCTATTTTCTCCTATCATATGTGTATCATCTGCCTTTATAGAAGACGGTTACAACTTACGGTTATTGACGCGAATTAAGTTCATTCTTTAGCTTTGGTCGCACTCATTTAAACTGTTGCTAGGAAATGGTTTCTGAAATTGCAATGAAATGGACCAAACTAGCAAGAACGGGCGCAATTGAGGCAAAGTTTATGGGTTTTGATGTGAGCACAATCATGTTCACTATGGAAAAAGGTCAAGACACTCTAGAGGTTAGTCCATGCTCAATTCAGTCTCAATTCTCAAATAATGTGTTGTCCAATATGGATTTGTTGATTGTGCCATCTGCATAGTTCTATTAAACTTAGAATCAACCATATCAGTTCAAATCATACCGGTAGCATATACTGATATACTATGTATCACATATAAAATCAGACCAGATCATGCAAGAAAAATTAGTACAAGTGTACAACTGGACAACAGTCTTGACTTGTTTGTCTATACTGATTTTATGGGGTTTGTAGTTGGTTGAAGCTTTTTACCTTTGCAGCATTTAAAAGCCCAGTGTCTCATCCTTTGCAGTTGAAGGATTTCTTGTTGAGCCAACCTGAAGCATATGAGATTAAAATGGGAGATCAAATTTTTCGTAGACCCGGGGATCCTCCGTTTGAGGAAGTATTTGAAAAGTTGCAGACTGAGAGAAACAAAAAGGAGTCTTCAAACGTGAAAGCAGAAGAGATGCATGAAGAGCTGTAATCGTAAGAAGTTACCCCTTGTTTCCATATCCACTCTTACCTGGTACAAAAAAATCTACAGATAATTAACCCTTCCAACCAACAACACATTCAGATCAGAATTAGCTCTCAATGTTTGTTAAATTACAATGAACTTGATACATGAGTTAATGATAGCGATGTAAACGCCACAGGCTAATTTATACTCGTATCAATTTGCAACAGTTTATATGTTTCTGCAATTGGTGAGCTTATTCCCTTGGGCACTTGTATTCAATTCCTATAATCTGGAGTTAAGATAAAGTGCAAGAAAACGCATATCCAACTATCCATGCATTAACATTGAAAAATGGGATTTTAAAGGTCCATTTTGAAATCTAAAAAATGCAATAAAAGGTAAATATGGAGGAAATTATAGAATAAAAACACAGAAGGAAAATGTTTAGAAAAATGCAAGTTTGGTTCAGATTCAAGAAGTTTATGTTTATTACTTGTTCTTTAGAATTCATTTGTCCATTTGGAACTTAGAAATGCTAGGGAAGGATAATAAAGAAGGAACCTGTAGAAGATACTTATGGGGAAAGAGAATGTTGAGGAAAATAAAAGATTGTTTTTACCTTAATGATATGGAGTATATATCTATTATTTGTTGAAAACTTGAAATTGATTTTTTAAAATTTACTTCTACACTTGACTACTATGAAATCTAGACATATGTTAAAAAACTAACCAGAGACAGTAATCATATTCTCATTCTCCAGCATTTCCTTTCCTTTAGCATTTTCCAGAATACAGACCTATACAGACCTGGCAAAACAAACATTTCTGTCAAGGACAGACGTACAATATATTTATGCACAATTGCACATATATTGTTAGAGAATCATTCTACACTCGAACATCCTGCAAAACTACACTTATTGGGAGCACATTCAATTTGTCATAACTCCTTATGAGTATGCTTCGAAGTCGTAATAGGTAGTAGTCTGAAGTTGTGAAAAATGATGATCATTTCAACTTGCTGAAATCAGAGAGCTCAAGAAGGTGAATTAAATAGCTCAAAGTTGCACAGATATCAGGAATCAATAATAAGGGGTCAAATTGAGGGTTTGAATAAGTGGGAAACTATTGCTATATATCACAGTGGTGACCGGTGACATAAAGGGGAGGTTGATAAAGGATGGAAGTTGGAGTAATTTACCTAGATACAAGTTCCATCCATATAATTCAGGCTCTTTGATCACATTCCTTAGGGTTGCAAGTCGGTCTTCCACAAAGCTGACATAAGCAGGATTATGCTCATAGGATACCGCCACATCACGCTATAAGCTCGGTAGAAATGAAATGTTTCTTCCACTCTTTATTAATAGATAATTACTTATATTGGTGACCAAATTTGTTTGTTGACATATGCGGAAGTCAGACTAGCAACTAAAATAAAATGAAATAATAACAAGTTTAAGATAAAAGTTAAAATAATAGACATGGATAGTTGCTTGTTTGACAATTGACCATGTAGTTATATTTTAGCCCATGTTTTATTTTGGTCATATTGTAGGAAAAACTCCATAGAATGAAATAAATGAAACTTTTATCGTCTTCCATTTTAGCTCTGCTAATCAAGAAACTTACTGTAGGTTGTGGCCTTTGTTTTCTGGCATTTCTTGAAGCTCCTTCAGCACTTTTACTTTCGGCCTGATCCAAAGAAAACATAAAGTGTAGCTTCCAATTAAGAGGGTGATAGACAGCCAGCTCAGCAGCCCATTAAGTATTTTAATAAAGTGTACAAGAGGAGGATGGGAGGGGTAGTTAGTAATTAACTAATTAGTAGTTTTGGCTTTTTTCCCTGCGTGGATAATTTTACTATAAATAGTAGGCTTGATTGCTGGCATAAGGAGACTATGATTTTGATGTACTGTTGCCTTGAGAGCCCGGTTTCCTAAGTCGGTTGATACCTACGGTCTACCTATATCTTCAATATATATCATTTCCCTAACACCTTTATCAGATTTGTGCTTGCTCTTTACTGTATTACTCAGATCCCAGCCAGGTACTTATCAGAGGGGGCCGCCTTTAACAAACATTTGGATGTATAACTTCCAACAGGAAAAAAACTCACCTTGTACCTAGACCATAGATCATTTCAGGGGCAATAGTTACACAAGTAAGTTCATTAAGTAATGAATTAACGAAGTGGCTCTGAATTGGGAATGCAGCATTAAACATTACTAAGACAGTAAGACCCAACTGTTTCATCTATTTATGTGGTTGTACCACAGATACCTGTTTCGTGGTCACAATGTAGATCTAGCTTTGAGCTTGCAAACTTCAGCGCATCTGCTACTCCAGGATAAAACCTGCAGAAGATCACAAGTTCAGACTAATAATAGTGAAAAAGAACTTTTGGAAAATGTAAGTAATGGGTTTCCATACATAAACTTCTTCAAGGAACAACATACGTAGCAAATGAATATGGTAGAATGCAGTTTTTGTCTGGTAACTGTAGGAGATTGGCAATATTAACCAAACTCCGTTTTCACTTTTTGAAAAGGGGTCAAATCGTCATTTTTTATTTATTGAAACACCATTTTCTACACACCCAAAGAGCCTAGGCTGGACTCCTAAGTGAGCTCAAAGGTCTAACCTGACCGAGGAATCTCGCCCTGACCCTGATGCATGTACGATGTCCCGCCAAACCTACTGCAAATCACTCGGTCATGGTCATACTTGGCTTGTGCTGGGTGGACCGGTCAGGCGGTCAATATCGTCCTTTGTTCTTCATCAACATTTATTCTTGTCAATTTAGTTCTAATACTATGATTAAGGGGCTGTTTACTTTCGACTTAATGGTCTGAATGTAAACAATGACTTATTCGGTCAGCCATACACTCTTGTTTACTTGGGACTTATTTTAAAACATGACTTATTCGCGCAGACCATTTTTGACTTAATAATTCAGCGGAAATTCAAGACTCCTTACGATTCAGACATTAATATGTATCGCCTCTCTCTTTTTTAACCCGCATTCCCTTCGCTAACCCTCTTCTTCGCTAACCTGTGCTACGGCCGCCAATTGAAGAGCTGCGCACAGTCCATCGCCGATCGCAGCAACGTGCAGATTTCATCTCCATCTCCAGCTCTCATCCCTCACCTTCTCCATATCGGTATTTCCTTGAATTTTTCTCTTTAGTATTTTCTCTCTGTTTTGTTTTCAATTTCTCCTAATTAGAGTTCTTCCTTGTTCTCTATCATACTTTTCTCTACTTGTTCTGTAAGTTTCGAATTTTTGGAGTAAATTCACTACATTTTTGTATTTAGGTCAATCTTTTGTAATTGAATTTCATATGCCATATTGTTAAATTTCATGTTTGATGTTGGATGGTTTTATATTAGGGATTTTATAGCTCAAACTCTGTTTTTGGGATGAAATAACTCAAACTCTGTTAAAATTAAGATAGATGTGAATTAAGTGATGTGAAATCAAGATACGTGAATTAAGATTAGAATTAGAATTTGAACATAGATGTGAATTAAGATATAGTATTCCATGTAATTGCTATGTAATTGCTATAGTGTTAAAATTAGAATTTGAACATAGATGTGAATTGAGATACGTGAAATCAATTTAACTTAGAATCTGATTTTTTTTGTTTAGGTCTGTTGCAAATCTGATGCCGTAATGCGATAGTCATGAAACTATTTTGGTAAACTATTATAGTGTTAAAACCCATGACATTTGGTAAATTTAGTATTCCATTGTTTTTGCTTTAAGCTTACCATAGGATGTTTCTCTTTTGGGCTCTTTACCTCTTCTGAGCTGCTGTTTTGTTTCATACTATGTGAATTGAGATTAAACTCTGATTTTTTTTTAAATGATTACTTTGAATTCATTAGCTCAACAGCTAATTCGTATAAGGTTAATTTTATTTATGTTTGGTCTTCAAAAAGAAGTAACAAAAAGTTTAATACATAGAAGATGATAACTCCATTTTTTGACAGCTTGTGAAGTTTTTTTTGTGTTATTTTGTATGCAATATGTAGGCAGATTTTTATTACGTAAGTAGACTGATTTTTTTGCACTTGTTTATCGGATATGTTAACCATCTATTAGCACTCTATGAATCATTGGGACACACATATTTCATTCTTTAGGTATGGAACACGCCGGTGAATCAGAAAAGCAAAAAAAATGTAGGATAAGTTGGAAAAATATGAACGTGGTGAAAACATTTCTTGAGACCTGTATCCATGAGATTTCCGTAAACGGGCGGGAAGGTAGTAGTCTGAAAGCACTTTCTTGGAAGAAAGTTGCTGACGTTTTGAATGAGACTCATAAGTTTTCTGTTGATCGAAAGCAAATGAAAAATCATTACGATTATCTTAAAGGAAAATATGGAGCCTGGTTACTGCTCAAAAATAAAACAGGCAATGTGTATGATCCGTCCACCAACACATTTAATCTTACGCCCGAGGAATGGGAGATTGAAATTAAGGTAATTTTTGCCTAAAGGGCGCCTCTATTTATTTTGTTGTTAATTTCTTTCCTATACAGCTATACTTTACATTTTTTTTAACACAGAAAAATAAGTACATTGAAACTTTGAGGACTACATCGCTTCCATTCCCGGAACTTTGTGCACAACTATTTGATGGGTCTGTTGCAACGGGCGTTGAGAGTTGGGGACCAACTTCAGTCGAACCTATGCCACATGGACATACTTCATCTGATGGTCCAATTGTGGTTGAAGAAGAAGTGGAGTTTCAAGGTGCGCATACTATGTCTACGTCAACAGGTCAATGTTCAAGCCATAAGCAATCAAAAAAACTCAAAAGCAATGGCAAACAAGCAAATTCAGCCATTGATGAAGAGTTTTTGAATGTGATTCGCTTAGTTGCTTCAAAACATGTGAAGCCCGAAGCACCTTTGAAACCTGAACCACCAACTTTTGATGATTGCATGAACAAACTAAAAATGCTTGGATGGGAAGAAGATGACCCACTCTACGGAGTTGCGCTCGCTATCTTTTGTGATCCAAATGATCTTTATCGCGAAGCATGGATGAAAATTGGTGCGGAACTCCTTCCAAATTGGGTCAAAATGATTGGGAAAAAATTAGGATTTATGTAGGTTGTTAGTTTCTCTTGTGTTTGTTTGAACGTATTCAGGACTACATTTGTTATTTATGACTCTTGTTTGTATTTTTATGGGATGACTATTGTATGTTTTTGTGATACTTGCTAGATTTTGTGACATCTAAGAATGGAATGTTTATTTATAAATATCTAATTTGTACTATTTTGCAAGGTAAATATGGATCTTGAGGCACAACTTCTAATCCTAATGCTTGTGTATTATTATGTGAGGCGAAGAAATTCTACTCTAAGAGATGCTGCATATGGAATTTGTTACAGATAAATATTATCTATGTGATGCTGCATATGCAAACACTCGTGGATTTTTAGCTTCATATCGTAACACAAGGTATTGGTTAGCAGATTATCGACGTCGTCGTGCATTGACTAAAGAAGAAAGATTCAATCATGCGCATGCACAACTCCGGAATGTGATTGAACGTACGTATGGTGTCTTGAAATCAAGGTTCCCAATCTTAGATCAGATGGCTCCGTATCCATTTGCGATACAAAGGAATGTGGTGATTGCTTGTTTTGCGGTTCATAATTTTATTAGAAAATCCAACATTGATGATGACTTTTTCAAAGAATGGGAAGATGACACTATAACCAACAATGAAGCACAAGAGGAACCTGAGGATGTTGGAGAAGAAGTGCACGCAGCACAATGGGGCACACAAAGTTTACAGTATATGACGAATTTGCGGAATGAAATCGCTAATAGACTAGTAGGAAACGTTTAAATTTAAAGTGTTGTTCTCGTTAAGACAAATGACTTTTTCTTATCATGTAATGCGATTTTTATTTTATTTTAATAATTCGTAGCATTATTATTCTTGGACATCTGGAATTATGTTTCAAAACAGAGCAAGTAAATAGACAATATACATTCAGCACTTGTTCCTGACAGAAGGGTTATTTGGTCATTTAATGTGATTCAGACTTCTCATTCAGCACACTTAGTAAACAGTTTGTTATCCCACTGTCACTTAATCCAGACAGACAACTTAATGCAGACAGACATCTTAATCCATTCAGGACTTAATGAAAAAAAAAAATAAACAACCCCTAATATAGTTAGTTCGAAATACTACCACTCCAAACATTGCATGATAATAATTACTCCTTCCGCCCCACTTTTAAATTTACAGTTTGACTTTTTGAATCAAACTTTGTTAACTTTGACCGTTAATTAGTCAAAAATCATATTATTTTATAAAACGTAGCAATAAAATAATTTCAAAAGCTTCATTTTAAGGTATATTATTGAAATGGTATTGATAGAGTATGGATGTTTATACTTGGACTGTAATCTGTCCCAGACCACACCAAATTAGACTTAGATAGTTATAAAAATACAAAGACATCAGACATTACTAGACCGGATCAGACTAGCAAGTTACAGTCCAAGTAAAAACATTCTATATGGGCCTAGACCCATGGCCCACATACTCTTGGACATATGGATGGCCTAAGCCGATACCAGGGACATAAGGCCCACCTAGAGAGCCCAGTCCATAATGAAGAGGCACACTTTCTATTCGTACCATCACCTCAGTACACGCACCTCGGAGGAACACACCTTGGACAAGACCCACCTGACATCTTCACCAGCAAGATCGAGATGCACACGTGCACCTCAGACCCACCACTAGCAGACATCTTCATAGTACCCTTACTGGGTTAGAGCGCATGTAAACAACCCAATAGTAGCCCAGTATTGTAATCGGGCCTCCCAGGCCAAAGACCTAAGAGCCCAACCCACATTTCCCCTATAGATACCCCTCATTGGGGGTAGTTGTAAGGGACAGAAAACTAGGGCTGGGTCCGAAAAATCGAAAACCGAAAACCGAATCAAATTATACCGAACCGCAACCAAATAAAACCGAACCGCTAAAAACCGAAACCGAAGGTAAAAAATCGAACCAAACCGTAATAGTTTGGTTCGGTTTTAGTTTTTACCCTTCAAAACCGAACCGATCCGAAGAAACCGAACAAAAATAAAATATGAAATTTTATTTGTTGAATGTAAGCATTAATCTTAATATCATCAATAATCTTTGAATTTCTTGTGCTAGAGAAATAATGTTTGTGCTATGTTTAGTTTAGTTTAATTTATAAATGCATTTACACATTCATTGCCCATAATAATGTAGCTATATTATTGATCTATTATGTCTTTCATGTATGTATGTTGTAATTTGTTGCATGATTATATGTTTTTACTGGTTATTAGTGGCATTTAACTTTTATTTTTATGTAACTTATTTTTTTTTGTAACTTAAATTTTTTATATTGATAAAACAAATAAATATTCATCTCAGTTATATCACATAGGACGTATGTATTCATAAACTTTTTTCAAACTAGTCACAAACAATGTAAATTAAGAATAGATACACACTTCTATCTCTCCCGCATACTCATATTATTCAAGACATTTTTGTTTATTATTATTTTCTTTATTTGTTCAAGTATGCTTGCATTTTTATGTAATATGTTTGATCCCTCCAACTTTTATATCAATTTTAAATCAAATGATAATTTTTTAGTAAAAAACCGAAACTGAACCGAAACAAACCGAACCAATCAAACCGTGGTTCCAAGTTTTGGAGTGTAAAACCGAACCAAACCGAACCGAACTTTTACTTTGGTTCCATATTTGGTTTAAGGTCAAAACCGAATCGAAAGAACCGAACTCACCCCTACCGAAAACTTACTTATTGCGAGTTCTCTCTCTCTCTCTCTATATATATATATATATTTCAGCTCTCCCTTCTTTCTAAGCTACACCACTAGCGGATTACCAGGAAGCTATCATTTGGTGCTCTCGTTGAGAGAAAGAACAATCAAATTAGTACATCTCGTTGTTACCAGACGCCACCGACACTTCAGCAATGAATAAGATTAGATCTAAGACTAAGGATGGCAATGGGGGCGGGGACTCGTGGCGAACTGCCCTATGGGGGAAGGATGGGGCGGGGGATGGGGATTACTACACCCGCCCCGTCCCCGCCCCGTACCCATTATAATTAAATGTATACTCAAACATACATATACATACATACACATATTAATAATGCATAAACATATTTAATTAAATTATATGTACTATATAACAAACACATACACATACTTATAGACATGCATACATGTATGTGTATTAGTCATGATTAATGAACTAATACTACACAAGTATTATATTAGAATAATAAGTAATGACTAAAAATACTTATCACAAATGATATATGAGTTTTAAAAGTGAGAAACTAAGTAAATAGAACACACACACTACTTTTTTTTTTAACATAAGTGAATTTTATTGAAAAAAGAAACGCAAACATTACAATGCAAAAACAAAAGAAAGAAAATAAAACATTACAGAGAAAGAAAAAGGTAATGCTAGGCCCATGGAAATTTTCTAGATTGAGATCTAGTCATCATGCTGTGACGCCTTTTATTCTTTAGGGATTTCCTGTATATTTTGAGTTGTGTGTTCAGGTTTTCCGTTGGCAGGCAATTTTCTGAGGTGACATACTTTGATTTTCTGCAAATTGCTCTGTTGAACTTTGATTTCTTAATTTCTGTTGGAGTTGAGATAGGGGGACGACGATCACTTTCGGTTGCATGTCCCAGAAAGTCGTCCATGAAAAAAGAGTCATCTGATTGATAAAAGTTGTCTGATGCATCTGAATAAGCCTGAGCAAGCCTGTGTTGTTCCACTGGAATTAGAGCCCATTGATTTTCTGAGTAGGCTCCTTGAATTTGGGAGTCAAAAATAAGCTTAGATATTGATTTTGGCTCGTCTGTAACTGACGTGGGTTCTTGCAGCCAGGGCACTGGTGTCTCCTGCACTAAATTAGTTAGTTCAACGAAATTGGAAAATATTTCCATGAAATATTTTAAGTTGCAATTTTGTGGGCCCATGGGGATTATAATGAAGCTCCCCTTCTCTTTAGCAATCCTAAGGTAGCGTCCAGCGTTATTGAAATTCGAAGAGACCGTGATGGAATCGAATCGTCTGCTTTGCCTACAAAAATTTTAAACCGGTGAGGTGGTTGATAAATCGGTAGATGTCTAGAGCTTGCTCTTTTTTGAAATTAATCCTGTGTAACGAGGATTTTTTAATTTCGAAGATGACAATTTCATTCTGTCTGCGAGCAAATCTAAAGGATTTTGATTCAATTTTGATAGAATCAAAGCCCTCCTCCCCAAAGAAATGGAGAATTTCGGTATCCTTAGAAAAATCATTCGCCTGATTTATTTCGACAAGCTCCGTATGTGCACAGAGATCTGAGTCTCCGCAAATAATGGCCTTTTCTTTAACCAAAGAGTTGTTTGTAAGTGAAGGTGCACACTACACAAACATATGTATAATACATTGCATATATAATTAATTGTAGTATAATTGATGAGAAATTTGGAACAACATACATGATTGTAATATGTTTACTTATACTTCTAGTTTTATTATTTTCATAGAACTTATTCAAATTGAAGAATTATTATAAATCGGCGGTATCATCTTTTATCGAACACAATATTATCTAGTTTAACTCTTTCAGTGTTATATATATATATATATATATATATATATATATATATATAATGGATTTAAAAAAATACACAAATAAGATAATTAAAATATATATGGGGGCACCCGTGGGCACCCGTGGGGGACAGCGGGGTGGGGCGGGTCTGGGAGTGACGGGGGATGGGGCGGGGATGGGGGGAACTTTTTAGACTTGGGGCGGGGGATGGGGGAGTGAACCCCCGCCCAAACCCGCCCCGTTGTCATCCCTATCTAAGACCCTCTACACTTCGAAAGCCCTCCACCAGGAGGGTCTGGAGTCGCAACGACATCAAAGAATGTCGAGGAGTTCCAAGAAACCATTGAGCCTGAGGCCGATCTCCGCAGCCAGATCAATGCCAACCAGCTGGACGCTCAGACATTCCTTGACGGCAAACACAAAAGTAACAAAACGAATGTTGCCATGCAGGTTGTCCCGGTGGTCCCCTCAAGTCGACATCCAGGCGGC